CTGTCAAAAGACCATGCTAACCCCAGAGAAGCTCACCAAATTAGACGGGGGGGGGGGGGGGGGAGATCAGGCGGCTACTGGAAAGCTGCGGAATGTCGTTGAGGCAGGCTGTTGGTGTTAGGGCTGTTAACCTTGTTCATTCTGGTGGTACAATGGGCGGGGTTGTAGCTACATCCCCTACAACAAATCATTTTGGGCGTTTGGGACCAGCAACTGCGGTCATTAAATTCCCGGGTGCAGATTCCCTCCAAAGTAAAGAGATCCCTGTGGTGGTGGAGGAAGACAGCCAACGTAACTCAGGGGCTGCTATGGAGTTTCCTGGTGGTCAGGCAGATCACAGCAGACGCTAGCGCCCAGGAATGGGGGTGAACCTAGGGGAATTGGTGGTACTGGGTGAGTGGTCTCAAGAAGAAAGAGGGGAATCCTCAAACTGGAAGGAGCTAAGGGCTGTTTGGGAAGCACTTCGTTCCTTCCAGGATTTGATTTGGGGCCGTCATGTCCGCGTCCTTTCGGACAATGTGACAGTGGTGGCCTCTGGGGTCTGACGGTGATGCTTCTGTCATGGGCAGAGGTGAGTATAGCCTCCTTATCGGCCGTACACCTAAAAGGAAAACTAAATCAGGTGGCTGATTTTTTTTTTATTTTTTTAGCAGATGGCGATTGAGAGAATCGGAATGGGTTCTAAATTGGGAGGTTTACCAATCCATTGTAAGGAAATGGGGATCCCCAGACATAGACCTATTTGCGTCAGGTCAGAGCAGCAAAGTTCCGAGATTCTTCTCACTAAACCGGTGGGACGGGGCTCGGGCGGTGACGCGTTAGGGGGAAATCCAAATTTCTGCCCTATGTTACGCTTTTTTCCCGGTCGCCTTACTGTCAGCAGTGTTGAGGAAGTTCAGATCGGAGAGAACCCCACTGATCCTGATAGCTCCGTACTGGCCCCGTCGAGCGTGGTTCTCAACGTCGAAGAACTTTGCTATTCAGCCACCTTGGGTGTTACCTCTACGGAAGGACTTGCTGTCGCAGGGTCTGGTCCTATGTCCCAGGGTGGAGAGATGGAAACTGATGGTGTGGTTTCTGAGGAACAGCTCCTGCTAGCAAAGGGATTCTTGGCCAGGGTCATGTCCACACTTAGCTAGTAGGAAGAAGGAAACACAAGTAGGAAGGTCTGGAGGTGTTTTAACGGATGGTGCTACAGGGCCTAAGCAGATACCCATAGCCTGGTGTCGGTGCTCGCGTTCTTGTGGGCCGATAAAGGGCTAGCAATCAGCACGCTCAGGAATCCCAATTAGCAAAGGAGGCATTGGTTGTAAGGTTCTTCAGGGCTCTGGCAAGACAGAGACCGGCTGGAAGTAGACCCTTTCCAAAATTGGACTTTGTAAAAGTACTCAAAGTGTTAATGGAGCCACCATTTGAGCCCCTAGGTTCCTGCTCCCTTAGGGCCCTCACGTTTTTTAAAACTGTATTTTTGGTGGCAATCACAGCAAGAAGGGTGAGTGAGCTGGAAGCTCTGTCTATCAGAGCGCTATATTTGCAAATTTTTTCTGATAGGGTGGTTTTCAGGACGGACCCATCCTTTCTTCCCAAGGTGTCTTTAGATTTTCATAGGGGACAGGATATAGTTTTACCCTAATACCTCGGGTGAAAGAAGAAAAATTTCACACCTTGGATGTAAGAAGGTGTGTACGCCTTTACCTAGATAGGACTAAGGAATTTCGTAGTACAGATTCATTTATTTCTTTTGCGTGGGCCAGGAACGGACAAAGCCTCCCGGTGCACAGTGGCTAGATGGTTGAGACTAGCAATAGAGCAGGCATATTGGGCCGAGGGTCTAGAGGTCCCAGAGGTTTTCAGGGCTCATTCTGTGCAGCCATGGCGGCCACACAAGCGGAACAGGCGGGGGTCCCCCGGGACAGATTTGTAGGGCCGCAACTTGGTCCAGTTACGGGACGTTTGTTAGGCATTAGACTTGACCTGGTCTCCGTGCAAGAGCAGGCCTTCGGACGTAAGGTGCTGCAAGCAGTGGGCCCGCCCTAGCGGTGAGTACTTTTTTATCCCCTCAAGGTGCTGTCCTGAAAGACAAGGGGAAAATCAAAGTTACACTTACGGTAACACCTTTTCCAGTAGTCTTTCAGGACAGCACCAGTTACCCACCCTCTGTTGTATAATAGAGATGTCTTATGGTATTTGGTGTCTTATGTCACCCCAGGTGACTGTAGGAGGTGCTATTCCAAGAACTGAGGTGGGAGGGGGAGTGACAGTATTTTTATTTAGGGTGAAGGTGTTTCCTCAGGTGGGGAGGAGCCGAGGTCTTTTTGCTGTCCTGAAAGACTACTGGAAAAGGCGTTACCGTACGTAACTTTGAATTTTGTGACAGAGCTTTATTTTGGTGGTATTTAATCACCTCTGGGTTTTTTTTTTTCTTAAACCAAAAACCACTTGAAATTTTGAAAGTTTTTCCTTAGTTTTTGTTAAAAATCTTGTAAAGTGATTTTTCTCCTGCACTGATGGGCGGCACTGACTGGCACTGATGGGCACTGGCAGGTGGCATGGATGAGCACTTACAGCTGGCACTGATGGACACTGACAGGTGGCACTGCTGGGGCTACACAGATCATCAGGGCACGCTGATCAGTGCCTTGATCAGTGTACATGTCCCCTCTGAGGGATGCCGATTTCCGGCTCTCCTCTCGAGCTGTCAGCATGACAGCTCGTGAGAAGAGAAATGCTGATAACTGGTATTTCCCTATTTACATCCAAACAGCTGTGAGTGGACACAGCTGATCACATGACCGAGCCGACATCTTCAGCTCTTTTTGTTGACCGGTGTTCCGCTCTGTTTGAGGGACACAGCGCACCGTCGATCGCTGTGCGCTCCCGGAGCCGCGCATGTGTGGTTAGAATGGGATGACTGCCTCCTAGAACCGCCTTGCGTCCGTCATTTTACTAAATGGGGGGCGGGAGGCGGTTAATGCCAAATGTGCAAGAAAATCCATGTTGCACAACATATAAAATTAAAATACAAACGGTTAATCCAGACCTGATTGGCCCTTTGCTGATCACATGACCCTCCCAAGGAAAAAACAAATTGGCACAACTGAAGTGGAAGGGAAAAGATTGAACTACTTTATATTTTTTTTTTTTTACAAATACCTGGAAAGAGTGGTGTGCATTTGTGTTCAGCCCTCCAAGTCAATACTTTTGTACTTTCACCTTTTGCTACTATTAGGTCTCTTTGGGTATGTATCTACCAGCTTTGTACATCTGTTGTGAATTTTTTGCCCATTCTTTGCAAAATAGTTAAACTGTCAGATTAGATGGAGTGTCTGAACTGCAATTTTGCCACAGATTCTCAGTAGGATTTAGGTCTGGACTTTGGGATCATTCTAACACATGAATATGCTTTGATCTAAGACATTCATTGTAGCTCCGGCTGTATGCTTAGGGTCATTGTCCTGCTGGAATGTGAACCCACTCCTCAGTCTCAGGTCTTTTTGCAGAAACAGGTTTTCTTTTAGGATTGCTCTGTATTTGGCTTCATCTATCTTCCCATCAACTCTGACCAGCTTCTGTCCCTACTGAAGAAAAGCATCCCCACAACATGATGCAGCCACCACAATGTTTCACGGGGATGTTGTGTTCAGGGAGTGCAATGTATGTTTTCTGCACAGTGTTTTGCTTTTAGATGACAAAGTTCCATTTAGGTCTCATCTGACCAGAGCAGTCTTCCACTTGGCTTCTCGCAATCTTCAAACGGGACTTCTGGCTTTCTTCTTGCCACTCTTCCATAAAGGCCAGATTTATGGAGTGCACGAATAAACGTCCTGTGGTTAGACTCTCTCACCTGAGCTGTGGATCTCTGCAGCTCCTCCAGTTGCCATGGGCCTCTTAGCTGCTTCTCTGATTAACCACTACCGGGCACTTTCATCTCTTCCTGCCCAGGCCAATTTTCAGCTTTCAGCGCTATCGTACTTTGACAATTGCGTGATCATGCAGCTCTAGCCATATGACATTTTTATTTTTGAGACAGCTTTCTTTTGGTGGTATTTAATCACCACTGGGTTTTTTTATTTTTTGGTAATTTGTTATAAATTTTTGTAAATGAGTAATTTTTCTCCACTGTGCGCTAATGAGGCGGCACTGGTGGGCATTGACAGGCTGCACTCATGGCACTGATGGGCTGCACTGATTTGGCATTGATGTGCACTGGTAGGTATTGATGGACAATGACAGGTGGCACTGATGGGGCAACACTGATCATCAGGGCACTGATCCTCAGTGCCCTGATCAGTGTAGATGTCCCCTCTCAGGAATGCAGATTACCAGCTCTCCTCTCCTCACAAGCTATCAGCGTGACAGCTTGTGAGGAGAGAAATGCCGATAACGGGCATTTCCTATTTTACATGCAATCAGCTGTGATTAGACACAGCTCATCACATGACAGCCGAAGTCGTCAGTTCTTTCCGTTGGTGATCCGCTGTGTCCCAGGGACACAGTGCACCACCAATCGCTGTGCTGCACGGTTAGTGGGAGGATTTCATATGATGTCTAATCAGAACGAGAGAACCACCTTGCGCCCGTCATTTCCTTATATGGTGGAGGAGGCGGTTAATGCTCTCCTTGTCTGGCCTGTCAGTTTATGTGGCAACAATTGTTCTTTATGTGCCCTGTTCACCCCACAACACTGGTATCGGACAGATGTTTTCTGCGCAGGAATCTGTATGAAACACATATGGAAATTGATTTTTCTGCCAGTGAAATCTGCTTGGTTTTTCCATCAGTTTTTTTTGCTCATATGGTGTGAACGAGGCCTTACAGAATGAGTACAGAGCAGCACAAACCACCACCACACTATCCAAGCATAGCTGACATGAAGTCACTGGCTAGGCCCTGCCTGACAGCGAGTGTTCTCCCTTGATTGCGAATAATGGTTGCCTTAACATTATGCAAGTTTGAGGCTTACTTTTTGTGGCTTTATTTTAACAGGTGGATAGGCTAAAATGCCTGTTGCCAGAAGTTGGGTGTGCCGAAAGACCTATGTCACGCCACGACGTCCTTTTGAAAAATCGCGGTTGGATCAGGAGTTAAAGCTAATTGGTAAGAAAATGCAGTCTACATTTTTATATTCCAAATGGTTTTGTCTTGTGCACTAATGCCTTGTGGTGTTTTAGGTGAATATGGTCTGCGTAACAAGCGTGAGGTGTGGCGGGTGAAGTTCACACTTGCAAAGATCCGTAAGGCTGCCAGAGAGTTGCTTACTCTAGATGAGAAAGATCCCAAACGTTTGTTTGAAGGTTTGTGACTAATACTATTCATTGATCTGGTCTAAAAATGCTGAGTGCAAACATCTGAGTCATTGGTGTTCCCTCTTCTGTCTGTACTGTCAAATTTACTTTGCTTCCTGGCTTCTTAAGCAGTGCTAGTGGCTTTGAAATGAGTCATATAATTGGTCTCAGCCACTTGCTCTAAAGGAGAATTTCTCTCCTCAAGCATTTATACACCACCTGCCCCCTGTTAAATGAGGACTTCTACCTGTAGTGTCCATCTTTGGGACTCCCTGCATCTTGCTGCCCTCCACACAGTGTCCTACAGTGGAGTGAAGGTGAGCATAAGAAACTGATAGCTTTTTGAGGGGTTGTGTGCTGGGGACAAAAAAAAAATCAGTACTACAAGGGTCTCTCGTTGAATTGAGGAATAGTTTAATAGGAAGAGAGCTGCATTAAGTGGCGGGAGAGACAGGTATTTTGTTGCTGCTTTACAGGTACCTGCTTAATGAGAACCTTTAAAGTATAACTAAAGCCAAGAGTTTTCAGTTTATGATAGTGTAGATGGATTAGAACACCTATTAAGTTTATTGCAGTCTGCATCGGATAGGGGGATTTGGCCTCTTTGTCCTGTTTACCATTTTTAATTAATTTAGAGGAGAACTCTAAATTTTTTGAGTTGTCCTAAGAAAAGTAATGGGGAGATTTTTCCATTGAGGATAATAGTTCTGGTGACCTGGGGGCCTCTAAGGATTTCTTTTAAAGGTTTGTTTTTTTTTTTTTTTTTTTTTTTTGGGTATACATGTTATACGTCTGTGCAGTGGTTTTGCACAGAGCAGCCCTGGGTCCTCTTTTCAGCTCCCCCAAGAGCACTCCTGGCCCCTCCCTCCTGTCTCTGTCCCCCTCGCAAGCAGCTTGCTTTGGGAGCACCTGAGCAGGCGCACTCCCAAGCTATGGCTCTGCATGTTCATTCACACTGAGCTGTGGTTTGGCTCCACCCCTACCTCTCCTGATTGGCTCACTAGCTGTGATTGACAGCAGCCAATCGGGAGTAAGGGTTCCAGAGAACCAAAGCTCTTGTGGACATCACTGGATCGGGATGTGGCTCAGGTAAGTGGTGGAGGGTTAAGGGAGCTGCTACACACAGGTTTTTTTAACCTTCATGCATACAATGCATGGAGGTAAGAAACTTGAGCCTTTAGAACAGTTTCATTTGCAGGGATTTTCTCTTCCTGTTTTGGCTTTGGGACAGGAAGTGATGGTAAATCTCCCCAATGGGACACATTGGCAAAAAAATACTGACCGTGATGATAACCCTCCCTTACTCTAGCCAAAATGAAGTTTTGCCTGTAGTTCTATTTTAAGACAGGAATGTATATCCTAAACTTAATTTAACTGATCCTGCTCTCTATTAAAAACCTTAACAAAGGTTTTCATTTTTAGGAAATGCCCTGCTTAGGCGACTGGTACGTATCGGTGTGTTGGATGAGGGGAAGATGAAGCTTGATTACATTCTGGGCTTAAAAATTGAAGATTTCTTGGAAAGGCGTCTTCAAACACAGGTTTTCAAGCTGGGTTTGGCAAAGTCTATTCACCATGCCCGTGTTCTCATCAGACAGAGGCATATCCGGTAAATATATGCTGTATACATAACTATTTTTTTCCACCAAACATTTTTAAACTGGAAATATGAAGAATCTGTACCTACAGCCAAATCTGCTCATACAAATTTGTCAAGTTTCCTGGATGTGTTCAAATGGGGAACCTTCTCTGCATTCTATACAATTAAGTGACAGCATTGTCTCATGGCTAGCAGCATGCAGTAACAGTAATGCACTAAAGTTTGTGCTCTTGTGAAAATGCTTTAAAGTGAGGACGCTATAAAAATGTAATGTATATCAATTAACCTACAAAGCATGTAATAAAGTAAAATCAATATTAGACATGGTACCTTTTTTACATGAAAACTTCTGGGTACACTTGCACACCCGGAGTGCTAGTAAGGCATACATGCAGGCTCACTTGTGATCTAGGCTGTGTGCGTCCAGACCAGCAATGGGCAAACTACGGCCCGGCGGACCTTTTAATCCGGACCGCAAAAATCTGCTGTCAGAATGTGTGTAGGTGGGGCAGCGTGAGAAACGTGAGGGGAGCTAGGCTCCTCTCACAGTCCGCCCTGAAGACCGGAACGGCGCGGGAACACGGCGAGAGGAGCGCGGAGCAAAGGTAAGTGAATTGACACGGGGGACTTGGGGACTTAATATGGGGAATGAATTACTATATGGGGGATGAATTACTATGGGGGAATATTACTATACTTACTATGGATGACACATACACATCATTCATCTACTCTTGGTCCAGCCCCCGGGTCCAATATATGAACCCATTGCGGCCCTCAAGTCAAAAGTTTGCCCACCCCTGGTCCAGACACACATTGCTGGTAAGCCATGAGCAAAGACATGCTGGTAGGTTAATTGAATCCTGTCTAAATTGTCCCTAGTATGTGTATGAAATTAGTGACCTTAGATTGTACGCCCCTTGAGGGTTAGTGACTGATGTGAATGTACAATATATATGTAAAAGCGCTGCATAAATTGACGGTGCTATTTAAGTACCTGAAATAAATGCCCCTGCTCCCTCAGGGGGTTTGACTAATAGCCAGTGGCTGGCTGTCCTGTGAGACCAGGAGAAGAGAGCAGTACTAAAGCCAGGACAGCATTTGATCAGTGACAGGGATAGGGGGCTAGAACAGGTAGTGGGGCTTTTGTATCTTTATGCCAAGATTGCGTTAATGTAAAAACCTTTTTGTGTTTTGAACCATTTGAATTGTCTTTTTGCAAAATTAGTTTAGAAACTGTTTAGCTTCATTAAAATGAATAGACTGAAATCGCACCACACAACTACATGTGACTCACACAGGAATGCATTGTTTTCTGTGCGATCCAGTGTGACTTGACCCTTCATGTTAAAATCCAAGTAGGCAAACTTTTCTGTTAACGTCCACAGTGATGCTATTTTAGGCTGTGCATATAAGTAAGCTTTACCATTCATATAATTGCTTCCCTAATGGAAGTGCATCCACCAGGGATCTGCTAGCAATGAAATGGTTAATCAAATGCTTTCAGCAAATATCTGAGAGGGTTAATCATTCACTTCCATCTGGGATCATGTCCACTCTATCTTCTAGTAATTAAAGTTAGCATGTGCTTCCCTATCACCATCTCTCCACCCAGATGCTGCTACACAGTGCACATACCAGTCCTGCAGCCTTCTCACAGCACACCTGTGGCAAGGAGTGATCACCACTGAGGCCAGCCACACCCCCTCAAGTCCCACCCAATCACTGCGAGTCTTGCAGCAGGCTGCATATTAGAGTCGGGGAGAAGTAGAACGCTGGGGAACTGCCTGATCTCTGCTGGGGGAAAAGTACTGATCAGTCCCTGGTATGCTGTTCAGCAGGTTCCACCACTGCTGCCTCTTAGCCGGTGGAAGCGCCGGCTAGGCGATAGGGACAGCCTGTGGGAGGGCAGCTCTAAATCCTGCTTGCCTACAGCAGGGCTAAATGTAAAAAATAACTTCTTGCCCGGTGGCTAGAATTGCATGTGTTGGGCGATAGGAATCTCAACATCCCTGCTGGAAGCTGGTTTCTATACAGAAGTGCACCTGATCTTGCACTGCAGCTTTTGTAAATAAACCCCACTATCCCATCTTTGCAATGGCTACAGTCACTACCAAACACTTGGATGTCTTGGCTGGTATGGTTTTGTCACATTTTATTATACATATTCTATGCTTTGATGTCTTGATAGAACACGGAACAGTGTTTTGAAATGAAGCTTGATTCCGCAAGATCACTTTGGCTTTGCCATACATCTTGTGAACTGCTAACCTTACCTGAGGTCCACCATCTAGTACACTTGGCATGAAGCTTTAATTTCAGCAAGGTCAATTTGGCTGTAACCATACACCTTGTGAAGAGGTCCGTTCCAAGGGAATATAACTTTTCTGATTGTGATTATGGTTTTAGCAAGGTAAAATGCTTGAATAGTGGATTTACATATTAACATCTAGTGAGCCTAAATAACTGCATGCTGGGATATTCAGACTTGTCAGTATATTTCCATAATGTTTGGATTAAACACTAAACTCTGCAAATCTGTTTAAATCCTCCAGCGCTTAACTACCCTGTAGAAGAAAGATGTGTAATTGCCTATTGGGGCACTTCAGTCTAGTCATGTGATTGGCTCCTAGTGACCAGCTTAAGGGGAGAGTAAGAAGGCAGCAACAACGGCTTTAATGTCTGGGCAATTATGTCACCCATAGACCTATGAGGCATCTGTTGTCCCTCATGGCTAAAGCTAGTGATGGGACCTAATCATGACTGGTGTGCCCTGAGAATACATCAAACACACCTTTCCTCTACAGCGGTGGGGGCAACTGTGGCCCTCCAGCTGTTGGTGAACTAGAAGTCCCATCATGCCTTTGCCTTTGGGAGTCATGCTTTTTACTGTCAGTTTTGCAATTCCTCATGGGACTACCAGGGTAGTTTGATATTGGAAGTGGGGGGGGAGCAGATTTAAGATTACATAGGTTTTAGCCTGGACTTCCACTTTAAAAGTTAAGTTCATCTTTTGCACTGTTCAGTCTGTATTTAGTGGTGTAACATGGTTAGATGCTTCCCCTCTCACCCTCAAAACCACTTTTTTTTTTTTCTCCAAAGGTGAACATAGCCTTTGAAGTGAAATTGTTTGAAAGTAGCAAGTCCCTTTTTTATGTATACAAATTATTTGTAGGGTCTGAGGGATGGAAGGTTGCTTCCATCAGCAGTGCATTTTTAATAGTTTAATAAATGTACGCAATCAAGTTTCCTGTTAATCTACAAATTAGATCTAATTCTGACAGTGACATCAGATTGTTTTTCATGTTGTAGGTCATCTTGCGTTCTATTTAACAAAAATCACATTGTTAAACTATGGTAGAATTTATCAGAGATTAGGTAATTGGTTATTTTAATTTAGCCTGCAAATATCATGGACCAATTTGAGTTAATTGTATTTCTTTTGTAGTGTTCGCAAGCAAGTAGTGAACATCCCATCATTCATTGTGCGGCTGGATTCTCAGAAGCATATTGACTTCTCCCTGCGTTCACCTTACGGTGGTGGACGTCCTGGCCGTGTGAAGAGAAAAAATGCCAAGAAGGGACAGGGAGGTGCTGGAGGAGGAGATGACGAGGAGGAAGATTAAACTTTGATCTCTGGAAGTCTCATGAAAACTAATATAAAACAATTTTGATTTAACAAGTGTCCCGAATGATTTATAGGTGTGCAAGTATAAAGGTGGAATGTTTCTAAACTGTAGAGCTTAAAAGCAGTACCATCCAGATTTTTATCTGTGCCTAAAAATGGCTTTATTGGTTTGGTTGAGTACCACCTGTTTAAAGATTGAAATATGGGTGCAGTGATTTGTATGCACTGGGACTCCTGGAGGGAGCATTGTATGCTCTGAAACCTGTCTAGTTCTATGGGTTTTAATACATTTGGGTTTTTTAACATTGTGATCCACTCTACTCTGCACCATGTGCACTCCATTATCCAACCTTGGATTGTGGGGTTGAAGACCTCTTGGAAAGACTGGATTCTGGCTATGGAAGCTTGTCTGAATAGTTTTTGGTTTGTGGCTCTCAGATGCAGAGTAGTTTTAATTTTAAGCTGTGGAGCCTTGTTTTGGTAACCTATTACTTGTGTGGGCCTGTTGCGGTTTTGTTGTGCTGATGTCAGCCCCTCAATTGGACTGCTTTTGGACAACTATGTACCTGTGTCCCTTAATGTGCAATTACTAGAATAGGATTTTTGACTTGTAAACCTATTACAAGACTACTTTGCAGTACAGTTCATATGGAAGGCCAAAGTAGATAAGGTGCTCTGGGCAACATGTTTCTCAAACAATATGGGGCTTTATTACATATGGCCATATAAGATCTGGTAGGAATGACATCACGTCTTTAAATTACTAAAAGAGAAATAAGGAAGGATTAGGACACCAGTCAGGTTTTTGCGTCTGTGTCCCTGTTTGGGAGCGTCACACTCTGTATTTGTCATGTTTATCATTCTCTGTGAAAGTAAAGAAAATCCTGAATTTATGGTTTGTGACCAGAACATGGAGATCTTATGGGGACACCACTTCTGAACCTGGTGCCAACTGAGCATTACCCCGCTTTAGAGATTTGTTCTTGCTTCCTGTCCCTGGGACAAGAAGTGAAGGGAAATCTCTCCAAAGGAATATAGTTGGTGCAAAACCTGGCTGGGGTTTAACCCTTATTCTATCCAGAAGTTTTGTCTTTATTGTAAAAGTGCTTACTGGAAAAACCTTTTGCGGACACTTTTTTTTTTTTTTTTTTCCCCCAAGGCTGAGGACCGTTCTCCAAGATTTAGAATGGTAATATTGTATTCAAAGAATACAGAGCAAACATTGGAATGTTTCAGATCAGCTGCATGCAAATGGTGCAAAATATGCAAATACACAATCCCCACAAAAAACCTGCAGTTTTAAACAAATCGCCCCTCATTTTTACATTCAAAAGTATTCTGTTTTTTAGATTTAAAGTAACCACTATCCACTTAAGCTCTTTGAAGATTTTTTTCCCCCTTGCACTACTTTAAATCCCATTTGCATACAGAGTTGCATGACCAGGCAATTGCCAGTGTGTAATTTTTTTTTTCTCAGCACTGGGTTTATTATATAAATGAGGGCAAAAATTGTAAAATTTGTTATAAAACCTCAAACTTCTTCATGAATTTAGGCCATAAGGTATTCAGCTACATGTCTTTGGTAAAATAAAAAAAATCCCAAGTGCATATTGGGTTTTGTGAAAGTTATAGCATCTAAATACTGTGTCTCTCTCACAAATCCTTGGTGCCTCTGAAGTCAATTTATGTGCATGTCATGAAGTACAGTATCAAAAGGTATGACATAGTTTCTGGGAAAACTTAATTTGAGCATAAGCAGTTTGACATCACACCAGACATCCCAAGAATATTGCTACAATGAAAACAGTTTTGTGAAGAGAGGGTCCAAAATTACTCCAGATCGTTGTGCAGGTCTGATCTGCAACTACAGGAAACGTTTGGTTGAGGTTATTGCTGCCAAAGGAGAGTCAACCAGTTATTAAGTCCAAAGGTTCACATACTTTTTCCTGCCTTCACTGTGAATGTTTACATTTTATGTGCAATTAAACCATGGC